GGTTGCCTTGTGGTTGCGTAAAGCAAACTGAGAATTGTAGAGGTCTCATCAGAATTGACCAGCTGTAGCGTGGGGCTCAGGTTGAAAGCCTTGCCCTCATTGCACTTTGGAGTGAATGCAAGTTGCATTTACTACCAGCTGGCAGTCCTTGCAGTTGCAGTTGCAACCACTAGGCTCGAGCCTCTGGCAGTGCCAGGAGGCTGTCCTGCTTGCTGTAGCGATAACAGGATTTGGAAACAGAGTAGTCTAGTCACTTTACCTTTTGCTTTCTACTCAGTAAGCAATACAATCGGCTAAACGTTCGGAAGTGCCAGCTTCCGGGAAATGCCTTGAGTCAACGGCGCAATTGGCGCGTCTGCATCATTATGGTCTAGTAGTTTTGTTGTCATCCACAAACACCGTCGCGTGATAACCACGAGTGTTACAAAGCTCTCACAGGACAGCTTCAAGTCTCCTCCGTCGTGATTCCCCCTTCTCACTTTTCCTTCAACTTCGCAACCATGTTGTGGACATCCTGTAGCGTAACATGCTTCCCTTTAAACATTACCGATAGTATAAGCTAAGATTAATAATAGCTCCGCATTTCGGCAACAACTGCTCATCTGTCCTTTTTCGTAGATACCGCATGATGCGTATCGGCTTAGAGCCAGCCGCCTGAAGCTCATCCACGAATGCAAGTACGTTCGGGTCTGGCACACGGTGGTTAGATGCGTGGTTCTCGTATGTAGCCTTCGGCACGCTGTGATTATGGCTTAGGCTAAAGCCAGTAACGCGTACCATGAACGCCTTGACGTCTTCGTCGTCGTACCAGGTAACCGCTGCCTTGATGTTCGCCTTACATCCAGTTGATATGTCAAAAAACGACTTGCGAATTCCCTTCCCGCGGCTCTTTCGTGTCCACCCGTGCGTGTATACAAGCTTAATCCAAACGTTTTTGAAATCTTCGGGGATCAGACGCTCGGAGGCCCCGGAGCTGTCGTCGGAATTGCCGTTTCGTGTTGGAGATCCGTCCCTACGAGCGTCCTTCAATCTCTCGGTTTCGCTTCTGCACCGTGTTGACGTGCGCTGACGGAATATCTGGCGTGTGTCTCCCTGATACTGATCGATGTAGGCGCGAAACTTATCCCAGTCTCTATGCCACTCTACATCGATCGACGGGTTCACCCAGAGACTGCCAGACGGGACCTGATGCTCGGGCTCGCTGTCGCTCATGCTACTGTAAATCATAACGCAGCAGTAGAGATTAGTAACACACCTTCGTGTAGTACTGCGTGGGTACTCCTACCAAGCCGGCAGTCCTCCTCTATATATTGTGGCTGTGGGTTCCGGCGCGCGATCTCAAATATGCGGCGCTGGAGTTTTACGGGACGGGTGAAAAAGGGGGAGAGGGGGTGTCATTTTCAGAAATCTGGATTTCACTTTTTTTCAGGACAACGATATTTTATTCTTGTAAATTAAACTTTCTGTACAGTAGCAGATCGTTTAAATGCTATACTACTCGGTGACGCTAACTAGTTCCAAAATTTAGTCCTACCTAGCCTTCGTAGTCGATGCATGAATTTTATTGGCTAATCAATTATTCCCGGAATGAAGTTTTTCTGGCTTTGAAAGTCAGAACAACTTTAATCCTACAGAATATCCTGCAGAAGGTGCTACCAGCGATTGGCCCCGACGAACATTAGACCAGAACCGTATTTCGATTAAACATTGCGCAGTGGAGAGTGAGCTAGCGGCTATAGCCGTCTGTGTCCCGGTTGCGCATTTTGGCTCCTAGATGCTAGGCGCATGCGAGCTGATAATAGCAAGGTTACACTGTAACGGGGCTACATGGTGTGGAGCACACAGGGGTACGAAGTACCCGGAAAGCTAACAAACTCTCAGTACATAAGGTGGAGAGTTAACAAGGTCTCTCAGTACGTTGGCCGAAAGCCACACGTTATGCATTTGATTAGGTATAACTATGCTAGATAATTAAACAGATACATTTACCCCTAGGCGGCTTGGCCGCAATAATAGTAAATAAAACACTTCTGGTTTTGAAGCATAAAGTTAAGGTAACAACTTTGAGCCCTGGTCTTGGGCTTTAAGTGTCCTTTGGATAAGGAACTTAATATTAGTGACTCTTTGAGTCGAACGTCTTCCTCTGACGCTAAAGCTACGGCAGCCCCACTGCACACACGGTACGAAGTAAGTTCTCTAGAAGTAATTATGACCTCCGGCAAAACGATGTCAGCTTTAAAAGTGTATTTCGTGTTGGGCGTGGGTGCTTTGAAAACCATCGTAGCATTTATCGAGGCGCCAAATAGCCTATACTTGTATACTACGAGAATATAGTAATATGATATGGTAGTACGGTTGCTCTTATTAACCGAGATTTGTCATGCGTTTGCCCTAGAATCAAATCGCGAGTCGGGCGAGAGCGGCACCAGGATACCATGCTCGCCGAAATGAGCGGGAGGCGAGCACAATAGGAAGCTAAGGTAAAATGCCAGTTTAAGTCAGTGACAGATGACCAACTTTAAAAGCTCGTAATTTTCAACGGACATTGAAGATGAGAATAAAACAACCACGACTGGAATTATCAGAATCTCGTCTTTCTTATTGTTAAGCGCAACACATTAATTGAGTACTATTCGGCCATCAGTGGCGGTTTGAAATTACCATCTTTTTTCGTCGTGTGCCCGTTTAAGACAATTTAAAACTTGACTTGAGTATGGACAAGAGACCTTTATGTACGATCGTGTACGTACTGTTGAATTTCTGTAAATTCCGATTAGAACCCACGTAAAATTATAACCTTGACTTGGATCAAAATAGATGGTGTATTAAAATCCGGAGTATTTAGAAGCTCACCTCGAACAGAACCGTATCACTGCTAGCAACTTCTGACTGCTGCTGCACTAGCACCAATTCGCTCTTCATGCCTTGTTCCTCTTCGTGTTTGTGCTCGTTCTCGTGGTTGTGATCGTGGTATTGCTTTTGATGAAGCTCCTGGTCCTGGTGGTGCATACCACTCGCTGTCGTTTTTGTAGAAATACTGTCTCTATGCGATTTTCTTGTTCGCTTCGGCGCGTTTCGTTGGGAGGGCTGGTCAGGTTGCTGAAGCATCTCACGCGTTAGCAATCTACCAGCCACTGTCTTGGTTTTTCTTTTCCTACTCTGCTTTTGTTGGCGAGCATGCAGAAGCAAGATATCGTGCTGCACTGTCTCCTTGTATCGCAGACAAGAAGTCTTTTTGACGGTAGCGGAAACTCCGTTGTGTTGGAAATTGAGTAGCTTCACGTGCCTTTTTTCAAGACTTAACGGAAAAATGCCGCAGCTCTGAAATCCAGATGATATATTGCTGTTGAAATTGCAACTTGTCCACGCTAGTGCGGCCATTTGAAGAGCCTTTTCCTTGCTGATGGTATTAATCCCGTTAGCTCGAATAATAGCATCAATACGATCTTGGAGCGTATTTTTGAACGAAGAAAACACGGCAGTATCCAATGGCTGCAGTAAGTGTGTGCCGTTGGAATACTTTTTTTCGGCTTTCTTGGGCAGAGTGGGATCAGGTCCGCGCCGTTTGCTGAAGGTGTACGGGCCATTATTCCCGTTCTCACGCCAACTAACATCCTCTCTAACCCACCGGAACAAGTTTCGAGCTGGAACACCGCTCTCCTCGCCAATAGCTTCAATGTTGCCTCCCTCGCGAATTGACCTCACCAGTTCCATCTTCTTCTTGCTGCTATACGTTGTGCGACACTTCATGGTTGGAAGCCAGATCAAAACTGACAGGTATTCGTGGAGGCGAGCGCCGCTCTAAAAATAACCAATCAGATGCATCTACGACTGCTATTGGTGCGCCTTAAACTGATCCAAATGACTTAAACTGGCATTTTACCTTACACTTTATTACAATGTTTTGTCTTTACGCCTATATTGCTACCCATAAAGTACAAGTTAAGAGCGAAAAGGCAAACGGTCTGCTATACAAAGGAAATGCCCACCTTGACGATCTCTCGGTACCTCCGTGCTTGCTCTCATGTCGTCATCAAAACACCGCACACCCACCCAATGTCGAACCCTCTTGTTGATGTCGCGACACTGTTTTCAATGGTAAGTCAAATACTTGATCATAAACACCTGGCTTATCTTTCCGATAGCTAACCGTGTCAGCTTAAGTGTCCTTAATAATGACCATTGTGACGAAGTAGTCGTGCACACACGTTTGTCGCTTTTTTATGAGCAGCTAATACTTCCACATGATGAATGCTGAGCTCGTCACAAAACCACTCGCATTTTACTGCTGAGGTTGGCTTAGTAAAGTGACCACCAACTATTACACGCAACATTGAACACGAACGTAAGAACCTCAGCCACTTTCTCGCGAAATCAGTTGTACTTTGTGCTGCGAGTGTTGTTTCGCTCGGCTTGATGCTAAGTGCCATGATTGTCTTTACCAAAAGATCTGCACGGCTCACGGGACTTTGATATCCAGTTAAGCTCGATATATTCTTGAGCGCCTGGACCCGTGACGATAGCGCAGCCTCGTGCGACTTGCTGCTTCTATCCACCGAGAATGTAGAATAGCAGTATGCAACCAGCACATCATTAAACGTCAGCTCGAATCGATCTAATAACCGACTTACAATAGCGCACGGATTGCCGATCATAGGTGATCATTTCTTAAGGCTTATACAACTGACTGTCATAGTGACCTTTCATTGGTGCACGTAGAGATCGCTGCACACCCAATCACGTCGGAATCGTCGGCCCGTATTTGTGTGCTTGATGTGTATTTTATCACCTTCTGTCGACCAATGTAGCCTCTGCCCCATGATACAATTAACGTCTTCAAAATAGCTGATAGTGTTAGTGCGCACAGCGGCTACAAAGAAGTTAAATGCATCCGCTTCTCGCGTTGTATGTGCCAGATAGAAATATCATTCCTGAAGATTTAACCTAGCCTCTAGCATAAAGTGGATTAGCGAGACCACTTCAAGGACGTTGTGCTACACACTTGCCGGTAGTGAGGAGCGTAGCAATATCGAGGCAGGAATTACAGCTATGACCTCACAAATGACAGTCTAAGCTCCGTCGAGTCCGTAGTAAACGTCCATTTCTTAAAGAGAGACGGAAGTCACTAGCAACATGGGGTGATCTAGCCGCTCAACTGGTCAGTTTTACGCGGAACAAGTTAAACGACAAGAATGCCCAAGATCGCTTTGATAAGCAGGTAGTGCAAAAGTGGCAGCAGAATACAGTTACCCTTGCTGCGTCTGGTGCTGACGAGATTAAACCAATTCGGGTATCTAACTCGACGAGCTGATTGTGTAAATCGACGACAACAGACGCTGCAACTGCCAGCATGGAAGCTGCCAAGAGCAAGCGTGACGCTGACGACGCCGCGTCATATTCGGCTGTTCGAGAGCCTGCAGGAAGCCCCCCCCCCCCAACAAAAACAAAGTAAAGGGGTGTGAAAATATAAAAAGAACTAAAGGCGTTGCTGCTTGAGCGCAGAGAGATCGAGCACGGGGAGAAGAGATATGCAAGCGAGCATAGATCTAGAGAGAGCGCACGTGAACGTGAAGAAAAAAGATCCTTCTCGCTTAAGCTTGCAGAGATATTCGGAGCGCATTCTAGCAAGTAGCATCAGGAGATAGATCAACCAAATCAATTAATGTTAAGCTACTTCGGTTTAGATATGTTGCTAAGGGTGTAGGTGTCAAATTAAAATACTTGCTGATCCCACTTGTCCCATAATTACAACAGTGACAGTCCGTAAGTAACATACTCGCCATAAATGGCTTGTCAATAGGACCTTGGCGCAACTAGCTTTTTCTTGAAGTCTCGCCCATTAAGTTTTATTTTTTGAAAATCTTATTCGTCACGTCTGCAGACAGAGCTTATTGCTGCACTGAAGGCTTGGTCATCTTCAGTCACTAAAAATTTTATATAGATCGAGACAATTTAGAGTTACACTTCAAACACTGGATCTCCTTACAGCACGAAGCCATCAAAAGCATCTGCGTTTGCTTCTAGAGACCCTCGCAGCTTGCTCTCTTTTTGCGGCGTGATATCATGCCGCTTGCCCTCATTAGGCCCCCAGAAATGTATGGCCAGTTAATCAGGAGCCACCACAGTTTGACAGCTCACTTGCTTCTGTAGGTTTTTGCGGCACCCGAGCCCCCGTGATGGACGGCCGATAGCATTCTTAGTTCCATCTTTGAACACACACACATTATGTAATGGGCTCTCCCAAGTTGCATATAGGTAGTTTTATAGGTTCTTTGTAGTGGTTCACACCATTACATAAGTAGGTAGATTTGCATTACAAAAGTAGGTGCAGCAGCACACGAGTAGCGTGTGCTGAACTGCCGTCACCTTATTGGTTGAAATATGGGGAGCCAGACCCATAATCAACCAATAAGGAGTTGACGTGTATTTGAGTGGTCAGGGCAAGCTGCCCTGGACCTAAATAACAACAGAGTTGATTTTCCTTCAGACTAAGTACTTGGTTTCAGTATCACTGAACTTGTACGCTTCCTCATCACTACGTGTAAGCAAGTAACGGACACCCCAGGCCCGTTACACCTGGTAGCACTTTGTAGTCCTTCCCATGACCAAGTTCACGATGAGCCAAGGTATGACGTCTGAAACTCCAGGGCCGACCCTGGAACATGCTGCTTTCCCTCATCTCACTCGTGTCGAGTGGGAAGCCCTTCACCGCCTCGCGGCGGTGTCTGGTGAGGCTGTAATCGCGTCGCTGCTGAGCTCAGCGACGTCCGACCAACAACGCCAAGCAGCCCAAGAGTTCATGGAACGCGAGCTAGCCGATGCGAATCGGCGAGCAACAACTCCCGCGCGTTCCTCGAAAAATGATGTCGTGAAGCTAGAGACGTCTACCTACTCCGGTGAAGGAGCGAATCGCCTCCCGCTGAACCGGTGGTTTCGCGAGGTCGACATCGCGATTGCTTCGAGAATGATCGAAGCGCAAGGGATAAAGGTCAACTTCTTATTGTCCCGGCTGTCCGGGAAGGCCAAGGAATGGGCCCTCGGTAAACTTGTCGTTGATCACGACGCATTCCCCACTCTGGAGTCTCTCCAGAAAGATCTCAGGCTCGCGTTCGAGCCACCTCAAGACGAATCCCGCGTGCGTGCCGAGTTCTTCGCCCTTCGTCAAGGCAAAATGACAATGCGCGACTACGTTCAAAAGACTCGCCACCTCGCGTCATGCATCGTGACAAATCCGATTGACGCAGCATCGCAGGTCCATGTATTCGTATTCGGCATGCGTGAAGGCATGACACGGTACTGCCTGACCCGAGCGGAACCTTCCTCTCTCGAGGAAGCATTCGCCCTCGCGTTACGCGAAGACTACGTTGTGGCGGCGTCTTACGCGCGCGCGATGTCAACGGCAGCTCGTGAGTCAGCTCCCGAGCCCATGGAGATCAACGCGATTGACGCATCGAATAATCATCGTCAGCCGACTCCTCGTGGACCCAACGGCCGTCCTAATCGCCCGCTCACTTGCTTCCGCTGCCGGAAGATCGGTCATCGCGCGGCGGAATGCCGCGCGCCAGCGCCGGTACTCGCGCACACCGCTGAAGTCTCACCTGCCGTTCAGTCAAAAAACGGTCAGGGCCAGTAGGTGCGGGGCGCCCTACTGGCTGGAATGGAGGTCCGGGCCCCCCGGTGGCTACCCAACCTTCTAGCCCTCCTGTGCTCCACGCACACTTTAATGCCACCACCACGTCGGGCGACTTGAGGCTAATCATCGTCAGTCTTCATGTCGCCGGCGCCCGGCGACCACTTCGCGCGCTCCTGGACTCAGGAGCGTCGAATAACTTCTTTCGCGAATCGTGCTTATCGATGCTTCCAAGAGAGATCGCAGTCCGTAATGGTCGAGGTCAGGTCGTCGTCAAACTTGCTGACGGAAAGCCACGCCGCGCTGCGCGGCGCGAAATCACGTTGCCATACACATTCGACGGCTTCCGCAGCAGCGACGACTTCCTCGTGATTGAGATGAACTACGCGTTCGACTGCATCTTGGGTATCCCGTGGCTGTCACGATATCAACCAGAGATTGACTGGTTGGCTCGGTCGGTTAAACACCGCTCTGGCTTCGATGTGAGTGAGGTGTTCACACACCTCCTGGTTGCCCAGAAGGACTGGCCCCATGTCAGGGTCGTGGACCGGTTGTCCACAATGCAGGTTGAGCAGAGAGCGAGCGATGGCCCTCTCGGTATGTCTTGCACAGCGCTGTTGCGCATAAACCCCTCGCTGCGAAGCGAGGTTGTTAACACTTTGGCGGTAGAGCAGGGGCTCCCGCAATCCGAGCAGGCGGTCGAGCATGAGTTCCCGTCACGCAACACGGCGGTCGAGCATGAGTTCCCGTCACGCAACACGACGGTCGAGCATGGGTTCCCGTCACGCAACACGGCGGTCGAGCATGAGTTCCCGTCACGCAACACGACGGTCGAGCATGAGTTCCCGTCACGCAACACGACGGTCGAGCATGGGTTCCCGCAACACACCAAGGCGGTTGAGCATGGGTTCCCGCAAAACACTCTAGCGGTTGAGCAGAGGTTCCCGCAACGCGATTCGGCGGTCGAGCAGTTGGAGCTCCCGTCATCCACAGCGGTGGTCGAGCAGTTGACACTCCCACCGGCTACGACGGCGATCGAGCAGGGGCTCTCGCCAGTCGATGGCGCGGTCGAGCATCGAGAGCTCCCGCGCACTACCGACACGGTTGATGGTGCCCCTCCGTGTCTAGAGGGGGGTGATCCCTCGTCCAGCGATAGCGAGTCTTCTGTCTCGAGCAGCGGTTCGAGACGCCGCAAGAAGAAATCCAAGCGACGCCGCCTTAAGCGACGTGGTCAGCCCACCGCCGATATCGCAGTGAATGAGTCCATACACGTCCTGGAACACGTGGAAGGAGGCGTCGCTCGCTCACGCACACTTGACATTGAGAGCCCACCTCGCGAAGCTTCTTCCATCACACGCCTTCCGGGTCTTTCCTGGTTGCGCGGCGCGAAATCACGTTGCCATACACATTCGACGGCTTCCGCAGCAGCGACGACTTCCTCGTGATTGAGATGAACTACGCGTTCGACTGCATCTTGGGTATCCCGTGGCTGTCACGATATCAACCAGAGATTGACTGGTTGGCTCGGTCGGTAAACACCGCTCTGGATTCGATGTGAGTGAGGTGTTCACACACCTCCTGGTTGCCCAGAAGGACTGGCCCCATGTCAGGGTCGTGGACCGGTTGTCCACAATGCAGGTTGAGCAGAGAGCGAGCGATGGCCCTCTCTGTTTGTCTTGCACAGCGCTGTTGCGCGAAAACCCCTCGCTGCGAAGCGAGGTTGTTAACACTTTGGCGGTAGAGCAGGGGTTCCCGTCACGCAACACGGCGGTCGAGCATGAGTTCCCGTCACGCAACACGACGGTCGAGCATGAGTTCCCGTCACGCAACACGACGGTCGAGCATGAGTTCCCGTCACGCAACACGACGGTCGAGCATGGGTTCCCGCAACACACCAAGGCGGTTGAGCATGGGTTCCCGCAAAACACTCTAGCGGTTAAGCAGAGGTTCCCGCAACGCGATTCGGCGGTCGAGCAGTTGGAGCTCCCGTCATCCACAGCGGTGGTCGAGCAGTTGACACTCCCA